GTAAAATAAGAGGATTGCCTTACGATGTGAGAAGAAATTTAAGGTATTAATGTTTCTTAAATTTCAATTTTGATGTTATTTATTGATTGTATGTGCATGTAGTAATAAAATTTTTTATTATTTGTCAAGGAATTAAGTGCTTAGAATAAAGAGACAGTGGTGAAGAACGAATATCCTTATAGAGTAGGGAGGTGGGGGTATGCAGGTGTTAAGTAGAAAAAAGTAAAGGAGGAAGGATCAGAGGTTGCTATATTTTGCCATAAGCTTTAGGCATTGGCATGCACTAATAAAGAAGGAATTATTGGCAACCCTCGTGTGAAGGAGGTTATTGAAAAAATTATAAGTATTATACTTATCTATTACTTAATAATTGATTATGAATATCTAAACAAATTATATTTACTCTACCTAAGATTCCATTTCTCAAGAAGTCTCACAGGAAAAGCTTCTTGAATATGAGGACATCTTAGCTAAGACATTAGGAATTGTTGACCACCCTGGTCATGTCAAGGGTGTTGGCTTTAGTGTCAAGAAGAATCAATATTTTACTATGATAAAGAAGCAAACATCGGCTTCTTCGATTGAGATCCAATAGTTAAGAGAAAAGAGAGCCGTTATGAAGCAATAATTACTAACACAAGAAGCACTAATTAACATGTTATCAAAGGGCCAAGTCCTTGGAGGACTTTAGGTGAGATTAGCATTAGCTAGAAAGATAGCTGTATAGTCCCTTCAGAAAAATTACCCAAGATAATATGTGTTATCTTATGAATTTATCTAATTATTTTTATTTTAAAAACTAATTGTCATTATTTGTTTAGGGTGAGAATGATTACAACTATTTGACAAACACTCCTGAACGTAGAGTGATTACAACGGGGCGTGTGTACAACATTTTCGGAGACACGATCCATAATCATCCCTTCCCACTGGACTGTGTGAGAGTTTCTCTACTTGTTGTAATCGACAGCAAGTATTCATTGTCTGTTCCTATTGATAAGGCACAGACAGTGGGAGATACAGTAAGAAGCTTCATTGTATGGCCTAGCCACCTTGTAACGGTGGTAACACCAAACTGGCAAAGGACCCATTGCTTCTAAAGAAAAAGGTATGATTTAAATAATTATTTATAATTTTTTAATATAATTATAAATATCTAACTTTTTTGTTGTGCAGTCGAGAGGGAAAAGAAACTTGAAAGGTAAGGCATTAAGCCATAGTAAAGAGTCAACCATAATTTTGCAGCATTGGCGTCGGTTGTAGAATATAAATATTGTGCCTCTCTTGAGACTTATGCGATGGCTATAAGGATGCCCATTAACTGGAGACTGGGGATGTCATTAGTTTTGATGATAGGCTATACGGCAGATTAGCTCATCTAAAGTTGTTCGGGATGAAATTTTTAATAAAATTCTCAAGCACGAATTGGCCAGCACTAGTCTGATAAGCTTTTACCTGAGGTAATTTTTTGATAATGCTCGATTAATTACTTAAATTATATATGTTGTGTGCACGAGCATGTATTAACTTGGTTATTTTTTCACTTAAGCCATCATTATACCCTATCTGTGGTTCCTGGTGGCTTCGAGTCAAGATTCAAGCTAGTTAATCCTTATGATATCTGTGCCTATAATGAAATTACAAAGGAAGCTCTTCAAGATCAAGCAAGGCAACTTTTGGATCAATTCAAAGATAGGGGAGCAAACAATGATACTTTAATTGTCACTCCTTACCACCAGGGGTGAGCCACTTTCTAACTACTTTTGGTACAAGAAAATATTTTTTATATTTACTAATTTGATAACACTTATTATTTGTTATTAGGAAGCACTGGATACTTATTGTGGTTAATCTTATTGCTCTAAAAATTTGGTATCTTGATCCTTTTAATGGAGAACCAAGCAATAGCCCAAATGTGGTAGAACTTTTTAATAAATAAGTTAAATTTTTATCAATTGTTATTGTAATATCCACACACAAACGCGCACACATAATTTTTAATATTTATTCTTTACTTTCTTCTTAGAGTTGTGGTATTGTATCATACTGTGACCAGCAAGACATTGTCCCCTAGCTTAAAGGCATTAGATTCTTGTGAAATATAGGTCAAAGTTAAGGTATTGACCTAATTGGCTGAGTTTTTAATCAACAAACTATGACCTTTTGATTGTTATTTCATTGCTATGTGATTTTTTTTACAGTGTTCGCTCCAGCCAAATTAGAGTAATGATTATGGCTATTATTTGATGAGATTCTTGAAAGACATCATCACTCATGCCCCTACCACATTACCTAATAAGGTATATATTATGTTTAATTACACTTAAATTACAAATTTTAACTAACTTTAGTTAGATAACTATTAACTTGAATTTGTTGTAACTCGTTACATACAGTACTTTAAGGATGCCTATTGTGTTTAGTATGTAGCTGCACATATAGAAGAAGCCCTTCAAGGGGTAGCTCAAGTCGTGTTCAACATTTGGATAGCAGCAGTGGTTAGGCTTAATAATTAATTTTGGTATACACATCTATTTTTCTGGCAAATCTTATGTCTTATGCCGCTTAGTTTGAAATTTAAGCTAGCGAATTAGGTAAAATTATAGAGTTTTTATGGCTTTGGGTTTAAGGTATAGGAAGATATAGGAAATTAAAGACGTTTATAGTAATTTTAATATAAATGATGATTCATTTGTTTTTTGATTGCTGGCTAGCTGATATATGTATATATATATATATATATATTTAATTGCTTTATGTATTTGCAGGGGCTGCCTAAAAAGTAGCCCTTAACTTAAAAAAAAATTATAAATACTTGACGGTTATTTCAAAATAACTATCAATTGGTTTGGCAAACTACTGAACAAAATTTACCAAAAATATTTTACTGTTATTTTTAAATAATCATCAAGTAGTTTATATTACTTAACAGTTATTTCTAAATAATCATCAAGTACAGTCTTGTAACAAAGCCAGGAATGCAAATGCATAAAAATTTACTTGACAATTTTCATTTACTTGTAACAAATTCTTGAAATAACCATCAAGTAATATCTTAAATATTTAATAGTTTTTAACCATCAAGTAAATATATGGTGCCCCATTATTTGACGATTAAAAACTGTCAAATATTGGTCTATGGTAGTGCTTTAAATTTATGCTCATCATATTGATACTTTCATTGAGAGGCCAATGTCTTAGAAAGGCCTACCTACGAAAGGTTATTATCGGTAGAAGGTTGAATGAAGAGCCATGGAGTAGAGTTGCAAGGAACAGCAGCTCTCAATGTGGTGATATTGTAATGAGTCTCATGTTAAGAAGCCTCACAAGTAAAGTAAGATTTGTAAGTATGAGAAATTTTTCTTCCTAACAGGTTAGTTTTTTAATATGGCTCTTCCTTTGAACTTCTATTCATGACAAAGTTTATTGGGTTTTACAATGTCATAAGTAAAATGAGGTTTGTAAGTGTGTGGAATTTTTCTTCCTAATAAGTTAGATTTTTAAGATGATTCTTCCTTTGAGCTTCTATTCATAACAAAATTCATTGGGTTTTACTGTGTCAAAGTCTATGACTACGCAGCTACTTCACGGAAGATATATTAAAATCGTCTGTTTTGCCAAGAATGTTCTAGCTCTTAGACTTTCCTTTTGTTTACTTTTTTTCACTGTTTTAAATTGGATAGATGCTTTCTATCATGGTGTTAATATCAGTATCATGTTTTGGTAAATAAATAAATAAATAAATAAATAAATATATATATATATATCAGTATCACGTTGAAATACTTAATAATAAACGTCGTGTCACTTGCCGGCAACTTGGCTTTTAACTTATCTCATACATTTTTTTTTTTTATTTACACGATTAATGAATGAGAATCCAAGCCAGGTCAAAAGAAAAAAATAAAAACCAGTTTTTGGCCAATCAAAAGAAAGTTGAAATTTTATTTAAAATTCAATATATGTTTGAAGAAACCCATCTGACCATATGATATTTAATTTATGAATATTGAATATAACAATTCCAAATAGCTAGCATTCTATGATATGACGATCCAGGTGCTCTATTTGCGAGATTCCCTGTTGATTACCTTAAAAAAAAAAATTTATTTGCGAGATTAAATGCACTTGACCCTTTCCTTTGATTTTTTAAAAAATATTTTTCTTGGATCATTTCCGAGCAGGTTCCATTAGCACAGTTGTTGATGATATAATGATCATAATTTTTCCATGATATGACTTTTAAAATAATAAGAAAATTTCTTAACTTTTTTGGCTTTTCAAATAATAACAAGTGATCAGGCACTTTTACCAAAAAATTGTGGAAGGCACAAAAATAAGTGATCTCAATTAAAAATTATATTGCTTTGAAGAGAATGATTTTAATGAACATATCAGATGTGTTCATAATGGATCATGGATTTTTTATTTTTATTTTGGTGCGTGTAACTGCAAAATAAAATTATTAATTAGATCTTGTATCACGAGTAATCACACAGAGATTCAAGTGGCAACCAATAAGCAAACAACAATTTTATCAAATACCTTACTTTAAAACAACATCTAAACAAACCAAGAAAAAGTTAGATATTATTTTGTTTTTATGGGAACAAGGGGGCTGCCTCAACACGTGGTAACTACTTTAGGAAGAAATATAAGAAAACAAAGCAAACCAACCAATCTTGGTCTAAAAGCTAAAAACCCATCGAACCAAACCAGGAAAAATAATATTAGCTAGGAATGAGATGGTGGGACAATGCAAAGAAGATCATAGCGAGATTTGGTTTTAGCATATATATATATATATATATATATCAGCTGCAGCAAAATAAAAAGATATTATAGGTGTGGTTTGCACATAGCTTTCAAGTTTACCATCACTGTCTCCGTGTGCGTTTGCGTTGAAATTTTCATGGCTTAGCGTGAAGAGCTAGACTTTAATCCATTACTCCACGTCATCCTCATCCTCTTCTTATACCCCAAGAATCTCACCATTCCTTTCAAATTCAATCCATTCATCACAGCAACTTAATTAACATCTCATCATAACTTTCTTCTTCTTCTTCTCCTGTTTCTCTCATCAACAGTACTAGCTAGCTTATTCTCAAAGATATGGAGGGTCTTATTCCTTTTGTGTACAAAGCTATAATGCAGTACAGGAATGGTAAAGAAGGAGCCATAGGGTCATGGCTTTGTGAGTCACCTTCGTATTCGTACGTTAGACTTGCTGCTGGTGACTCTGGTCGGTTTCAAACCTCTGCTTCTGTTTTGTTGTCTGATTATGGCTTCTCTGCAACGGCACCACCTGCCAAGTCATCATCCCCTTCTAATAATTCTTCCTCTTCTGCAACACAATTCCCGATACAATCTTCTTCTGGCGTTCATCAATCGCCAAATCCTGCTTTGAAACGTCGTGAAGTTTCAGCATGAACAACCGTTTATGTTCGTTCGTGTGCTTGAAGGGAGCCGAAGGCTCAGCACAAGAACAAATCCTAGTAAGAATGAATACTTGGGTAAAGTTTTTAGATGTTTTATATCAAGGTTTTTGATAAGAACATAATATGTGAGCATTTGCAAAACGTCTCTTCACATCTTATGTTTTTAGTAAACAATCTGATAGCAAATATCTAAACAACTTTACTTAAGTTTTGTGCTTCTGGTGTGAAAACTACATTTGGAGGGTTAATATTAAAGTGTTCTGAGTTTGTGTTTCCCAGGTTGTGAAGGTTTGAGAATTAAGCAAGCGTGTGGAAAAACCAAAGGGGTTCCAACGCTTGGTAAGTGTGGAAAATCAATGTAAATAGGGGATTTTAGTGCATGAGAATCAAATAAAATAAAATAAATAAATGCATGTGTTTTGAGGCCAAAGGGCCAGGAAGACTATATGAGAGCTTTTAATTAAGACTATATTTGATCTTTGATTACTGAGGGTATGTTGTTTCTTGGCCAAAGTGAAAGTGGTCATGAAAATTGATCTGAACTTGTAATAAAATATTTAGTCTGAAAATTACTTGTGTTTGTGTTCTCGTCTTCCCATGCTCTTATTTCAAAATTGTTTTGGAATGCTTGGCAGCTTGGGCAATATATATAGAATTATAGATAGATACACATTGAGTCTGAGTATAATAGTCCACTACGTGTGTACTCGCATGATCATGAATTAATAGAGTTTTTTCACGGGAAAAGATTTTTCTTTTTTTAAAAGTTAGATAAACTTACAGGTGGGTTTGGATTGATAAATTTAAATTTAAATTTTAAATATAAAACTAAAATTCATGCATCTAGAATTATAATATTTTTTAAAAGAATTGATGGCAGAGACCAGCTGAGATTCAAAATGAAAACGGAAGAGTAAAGGTGACAAATTTACTTGTATTTTTCAATTAATGAGAGATTAAAATAAGAAATAAAAACAAAATAAGAGCAACAAATACTTCATCAACGACAATACAAACAAAATAAAATGTTAAAATGATTGAAATTTTAAATAATTAAAATATATAAAACTTTTAAAGTTATAAATAAATTATAATAAAATGTGAATTTAAATTTAAAGATTTCCATAAGTTCAAATGGAAAATTTGACCTAAATTTAAATTTCCATTAATTAATCTAAACACTATGCAAGATATTTTTGTTTGTTAATCGACAAAAGCAATCATTGTGCGCCCGGCCACCCCAAATCGTGATATTGTCAGCGCTATATCGCATGAATAAGGCCTATTTAAAATTATTTTTATTTTATTATTTTAAAAATTGAAATTTATAAAATATATTTTAAAAATGAAAAAATAATAAAAATAAATATTTTTTTATTTTATTTTATTTTTTAAAACAATAATTCAAGAATATTTAAAAAATATTTTTATTTTTTATTTTTAAAAATAATATTTTATTTTTTAAAATACTTTTTAAAAATATGTTACTAAATAATTTTTTTTTTGTTTTGGAGAATAATTTTTTATTTTTTAGAATAAATTTTTAAACAGGCCCTTATTTTTTGCGGTTTTTACTCACACAATTAAATCGTGTATGAAATAGAGTCTAAATTTTTATATTTTTTTCTAATCTATTATCCTTTTTATTTTAAAAAAATATTTTTAATTTAATTTTTAAAAATAAAATAGTTATTTATTTTCAACCTAACTTTATTTTTTTATATTTATTTTTATTTAATAAATATTTTATTTTATAATAAATATAAAATAATTTATTTAATAAAAATATTTAAAAAAATAATAATTATATTTTAAAATATTAATTTTTTATATTTTTAAACATTCAATTTTTAATTTTTATAAAAAAAATAGACAGTGTAAACAAAAAAAAAAAAGAATAAACGAACGGGCCACATACACTTCTGCTCTCTCTCTCTCTCTCTCTCTCTCTCTCTCTCTTCGGGCGTGGGCCACCTGTACACTTCTTTTCTTTATGTAATGACTAAAGAATTTTTGTGCGTGGTACGAAATACCATAAATTATGCGTTGGTAGTATTACACAGTAATAAATGATCCTTTTTGTCCTGAAAGAATCTAAATTATTAAAAGGCAGAATTTCAAATAAAGATTAAAAATATGATTTAATTATTAGTGAACCTCAAAAAATTTTAAAATTTTATTTTATTAAGGAGATAAAAGTAAAAATAATTTCAACTATAAAAAAATTAAAATATCATTTACTAATTATGTAGAATCATTAATTGTTAATTTATCAATATCACTTATAAATTATATCCATTTGTCAAATAAGCAGTATCATTAGTTGCTAACTTGTTAACTTCATTTGTTAATATACTAACATCAGTTGTAAATTATAAGACTTGTCAGTAATTTACAATTAATGTTAGTACAAGACTTGTTAGTAATTTAACAATTGATGTTACTGCTTATAATTGAACAACTGATGTCAAGTCTTATATAATTGTTGACATGTCAGCTCATGTAATTTGTAACTTATATTAGTAAGTTAACAAGTGAAGTAAGAAAATTAATAATTAATGATTTTATATAACACGTAAAGGATACTTTAATCTTTTTACAGTTGAAATTATTTTTACTTTTATTATCTTAAAATGAATTAAAGTTTTAAAATTTTTTAAGACTCGCAAATAATTAAATCATATCTTTGATTCTTATGTAAAATTCTTCCTATTAAAACATAAGATAATTATTACTTTTATGAGAGAAAAGAATAAAGGTCAATTATTTGATAAACTTACGGGGAAGGAGGTTCAAAAGTCTTGATCAACGAACTTTTTGGTCATTATTAATCCAACAAGAGGCCTCCATCTTTTCTCCACCAAGTTTCTTCTCTAGGCTAACCGGCTCCATTAAATGCCAGGCTTAACAAGAGGATCTCAACTAACCCAGTTTTCCACTATTCATCAACAGATACGTTACATTTTACTATTTTAAAATCTAAAAGGGCTATGATTATATAAGATGCATCACTTTATATGACTGGTCATATATAAGAGAGGTCATCAGAAGTTTTAATAATTTGAGATTGATAATACAAGTGCAATATAAAGCTTCCACACATTTTTTCCACCCAAAAAAAAAATGATTGACCAATATTGACCAATAAGTTCAAAAAAAAAAATTGCCGTAATAAAGTTCAGATCTAAGAACAAGCCAAAAAGTATTTAATTATCATCAAATCTGTAATGAAAATGTTCAGAGATCTTCAGTCCGCCTGTGGTGTGTTCGAAAAAGATGCCTTGACCTTCAAGAAAGATCCAAAGCGGTTAGGGATTGCCAACTCATCTTTTACTGCAGCCTCGTATTTATCTTCTCACCATATGTATTTATTTTCATACGGAACGAATATATACTTTTTCAGTACAGGGAAAAATAGGATAAAACTAATTATTATTATAATCACATACTATTCCAACACCACTTTATCTTTAATTATCATTACTCGACCTGACCTTATATATATATTCTCTTAATTTTATTTACAAGTAACTTTCATGAGACAATATTAAAATTAAAAAAAATTTAAAATTTATTAACTATATCTTAAAATTTAATAAATTTTTACTTTCATCTCTTAATAAGGATATATGAAATAAAAAATTTTAAAATATTATATAAGTAGGATCAAAATTAATTATTTCTCTTTATCACTCTATAAAAAGGATCAGAAGAGTATACTCTATAAAATATTCCCTTTTGTCCAAAATACAAGCAACTTTAAAAAAAAATTGTATATCAATAAAATTTTCATTCCCATAAAAATATATTATTTTTACTTTTATTTCTAATTTCAATTACCAATACATTTCACAATGAGTAAGAGATACATTTACATAAATATTTAAATTATTTATATTTTGAATAAAGATTAGTTGAGAGGCAATAATTATATTTTGAAAGCGGGGAGTAAAGCCTTGCTCTATTGTTTGAATTAAAACTATAGAGTACGAAATAAATTATAGTTCTAATTAACGAAATTGAATGTGGATTTAGTATTGCTATGCTACTACAAGAAGCACATGATTCAGCAAAAGAAAAAGGAGTCCAAGTAAGCTTGAACTTGCCCCTAGAGTGAAATATTGTGAGCACAAGATTCTTCGTCACGATCTATGCCCGCCATTTGAGGAATCAACACCTTTGCTTTTGTCGCCTTCATATCTTTTATTTATTTATTCGAAACTTTCTGTCCTCTGCTTTACAAAATCACTACTTTGGAAATGTAAAAACAACCATTCTTTCGCGTACGAGGTTTAGATCAAAAGTTAACATAAGAGGTCAAACCCATGCTACATCGGGTTCTCCGAACTAAACCCCCCCCCCCACAAAAAAAAGCAGCAAGAAAAAAAAAAAACTGCTGTAATTCATACTAATTTAATTTGATCAATCTACTTAATTTTGGTCTTTAACCTTTTGAAATGGTCAAATATATCAATTCTCTAGTAATTTCAGTGTTATTTAATTAACTCATTACAATTAAATTTTTGGTCAAACATAAGACGTCGTTATATCTGCAAACTTTTCCAGGCATATACTGTTTCTAAAAGATGAAAATCGTATATGGTGAGTTGGAGACCTCATAACTCTGTATTAGAATAGAAATGAAAAAAAAAAAACATGTAAAAAGGAGCTATTTTCATATAAGTTTGATAATGCATGAATTTAAACTAATACTACTAAATATATACCAGCTGATATTACATCAAAAGAATGACAGAGACCAGATTTAAATGCAGGTGCACTTACATATTATATTGTTCAATTCAGATTTAGTAATAATTCTAAGGTCGTTTCTGTATATGTACTATATACATATTATTCATTTTTAAATTCGCTTTATATACAGTCCAAACTTTAACTAGTTTCTTTTATCTATTCCTCCTAACTGAGCACAGAGATCATAGAATCTGGTGTCAAAAGCAGCGTTGACTCACACTTCAATAAAGTATAGTATTATTTTCCATAGTGTCAGAATCATGAACATGGACTATAGCTGCCCAGCTGGCCATCATCAGATCAAGAGCTTCACACTTCAGTAATATCAGCTTCAGTGTCCACAAATTCAAATCAAATAAACCTAATTATGAAGACACCTATCAACCTCTCTCTTCTGCTTCTTTTCTCTTGCTCACCATTAATCATCTGCTTTAGCCACTGTCCAGACTGTGGTCACACTCACGTCCCATTCCCACTTAGCACCAACCCTCATTGTGGTGACCCATCTTACAATGTCCGATGCCACAAAGGCGCCCTCTGGTTCGACACCGTCAAGGGCTCCTCCTACATGATCACCACCATCAACCCTCAAACGCAGCGTTTCGTGATCCGACCGCCCAGTCTAGCCTCTGACCACACCTGCGTATCCGCCGATTTCGGAACCCAAGGCATGTGGCTCGATACCAACGCACCCTTCAACATCACCTCCAGTAACACCCTCTTGTTGATGAACTGCTCCAAAGAGGTGTTGACGCTCTTGTGGAATTGCTCTTCGTCCAGCATTTGCCACAGTTATGTTAAGGCCCGAGCTGCCAAGGCTTGCCGAGGCGCGATTTGCTGCAACTTCAGGACGGGGGGGTCGGTGACGGAGTATAGAATTAGGGTGAGGAAAGAGCGGTGCGCGGCGTATGTGAGTTTTCCGAATATGGATGATTCGGCTCCGGTGAGTAAGTGGCCGGAGCCTGGGGTGGAGATAGGGTGGGAGCTGCCGCAGGAGCCAGTGTGCAAGGCACCACCGGATTGTGGTAGTTTGGCTAATTCGACATGCTCGCCGGTTGCGGCAATGGGTGGAATGAGGAAGTGCTTGTGCAATCCTGATTTTCAGTGGGATCCTGTAAACGGAATATGTCAAAGTAAGTAAGTACATAAAATAAGCGGTTAAACTTTAAAAATTATTTTAACAAAATAAAAATGACACTTTTTTGTGGGGTTTTTAATTTGTTATGTCACTAGCGAGGAAGAACATAAGTTATTTCACATACTGATGTACATAAGTATTTTTATGTGTATAAAGGAATAAAAGGTGATCAGGTACAACTGGCAGAGCGAGCTTGCTGCCAATAAAACCTGGCCATGTGAATTACTGAACTCAAAATCTTAACTAATCAACCTCGTTAGTCGTTAACGATATTATTTCTCATTGAGGACGTTGAGTCTTGAGGAAACTCAGAATTTTCCATCATTTTTATTAATATTATTATCGGCTAATTGTCATGCATTATACTTTATTCAGATCTAGACCTTCCTTAGTATTGATGTTATATATAAGGTACATCCGCAAGAAGTGTTCGCCCTTATTAATATTGATCCATATACCTTCAGATATCAAGTGTGAAAATGGCAGAGGATGCAATCGTCGTAACAAGAAGAAAGCTCAACTTGTTGGAGGTAATTATTTTTTGGATCATCATAGCATGTTAATAACAATTTATGAAGTGTTTTCATTTTGCTGCATCGTCAGTTCATTGGCTTTAAATGTGCAAAGGAGAACTTGGTTTAATATACCGAATGTTGAGTCGGCATGCATGCATGTATTTTGGAAAACAATATTAATGCATCTAGTCTTTTGATTAATTAGCATGTTAATTACTCACTCTGCCTCAATTCACATGGATTAAGAAATCAATAATCAAATTAATGTAAGATATCACTAGTCACTACTCCCTCTGTCCCAAAATTTATAAAATATTTTTAGACAAAAACACACATATCAATAAAACTTATTAAATATATTTTACAACTTTATTTTTTTCAAAATAAAAATACAAACTTTCAAAAATATATTTCATTTAATACTCATTTGTGAAAAAAATATTAAAGAGAGAGAGCATAATAGGACTGAACGGATCTTATTTATGTCAAAATATTTTATATTTTGAGATACCAAATTTTCTCCAAAAGTGTCTTAATGTGTTCAAAGAGAAAATGAAACATAATTGTAGTAGATTAGTTAACATTGAACTTGAATGGAGTATAAACTGACACAAAACAATAATATTATTGAAACAAGAAAAAACCCATAAAACAACAACGTTATTGACACGGAGGTAGTAATTGATATAATATTTCTTAGAGGCAAGGCCAATCTTGGCTTCTAGTAGGTTACGTGCATATTTTAATCCCCCCCCCCTCTCTCGTAAATTTTTCCCCCTTTAAAAGCAAGATTCAATATACTTCTATACATGTTTGTGTGTTTTAGTCGTTTTATGGCCAGGAGTCCTTGTGTTGATCGATTTAATTAGGCTTCATATGAAGATTATATGGTAAAAGTCAATAAACGTTAAACTGGTAGTTAGCATCTTATGAATTTTATTTCTTTGAGATTGATGTGTGGTTATATATTCTATTTATTTTTAAAATTTCGTCGTTTATTAGATTAAAAAGAAAAAAAAAGTGTCTCAAAAGTTTAAATGTCGTATCTACCATTTCATATTAAGCTTATAATTAGTAGAGGATGTCATGAACTAATGTCAAGTTATCGAGTACTTATAGTTAATTACACCATTAGAAGCTAAGTAGCCACAAAACATCATACATCACACCTTTTGCCCTTATAAGACAATTAAATCTGTCGCATTATAGGGCCACATAATTCATTTGCATTGATTACAACTCTAATACTGTTGTCGCACCGTTAATTTTTTTTTAAAAAAAAACCTATGCTGGAAATGAAATGTTCAGATGTCACTGATGAAGGAAAAGCTACTTCTGGATAATTAAAATATCAGTTTGCATGGGAAACTAAATTTTAACCAAAAGACTGTTTGAATATTATATATATTGATTCGATATCATCTCAGGCTTGGCATTTTCTGGAGCTGCCATGCTCACCGGAATCCTAATAGCTGCAGTGATTTATGGCTACCGGAGGCGGAGAGCAACCCAACTTATAAGCATAAGCAAAGCACGTGATATATTGAACGCCGACAACAACGGCGGCAGGTCGGCCAAGATTTTCACCATCAAAGAAATCACAAAAGCCACCAACAACTTCTCCAAACACAACCTCCTGGGCTCCGGCGGCTTTGGCGAGGTGTTCATGGGCACCCTTGCCGACGGCAGTCTCACCGCCATCAAGCGCGCCAAGCTCGGCAACACCCGAGCCGTCGAGCAGATCCTCAATGAGGTTCGAATCCTCTGTCAACTCAACCACCGAAGTCTCGTACGCCTCCTGGGTTGTTGCATCGAGCTCCACAACGAACCCCTTCTCGTCTACGAGTATGTGCCCAACGGAACCCTCTTCGACCACCTCCACAACACCACCAAGTGGGGCCCACTCCGGTGGCATCGACGGCTGAAAATCGCCCATCAAACGGCAGAAGGGCTTTCCTACCTTCACAACTCAGCCATACCCAGAATCTTCCACAGAGACATAAAGTCGAGCAACATTCTGTTAGACGACAACCTTAACGCTAAAGTCTCGGACTTCGGACTTTCGAAGTTGGCTACGAGCGAAGCGAGTCACATCACAACGTGTGCGCAAGGCACGTTGGGATATCTTGATCCAGAGTACTACATGAATTTTCAGCTAACGGATAAGAGCGATGTGTACAGTTTTGGGGTGGTTCTGTTGGAGATATTGACGGCGAAGAAGGCTTTGGATTTCGGGAGAGACGAGGAGGATGTGAACTTGGCGGTGTTTGTGAAGAGGGAGATGAAAAGTACGAGGTTGATGGAAGTGATTGATCCAACACTGAAGATGGGAGCTAGTAAGTCGGAGTTGGAGAGCATGAAGGAGTTGGGGTGTCTGGCGATTGCATGTTTGGATGAACAGAGGCAAAATAGGCCGTCCATGAAAGACGTTGCTGATGAGATTGAATTCATTCTTCACACTGTTTCTGATGGCAGCGGCTTCAAGGGTGAAGCTTCCGACGAGTTTATTCTACAAGAAACATCAGGTTTACAGAAGTTTCCTGGCATTTTGTAGTATACTTTTTTGAAGAATGGGAGAAAACAAAGTGTATGGACGCATTCTCCTTTTCTCTTGATCTCTCAATAGTCAAGTTTTCCCCCACCTCTTGCTCTGTAATCAACGCTCTCCTATAAAATACAGTGCATGCATCCATCTGTCCATGACCAAAAAAAAAGCGTGTCTTTGATTTAATAATTAAAATAATCATGTGCCCCTCCAATTTCTATTAAAGGCACTTCTTCTAATAACTTCTGAAATTGTGATAGGAGATTAAGGTATTAATTTTATTAAAAAATAAAACAAAATTTTAATTTATTCGTATTTATATTATATTTTTTTCTCATAATTAATTACTTTAAATAAAAATAATTAACATGCTCATAAATGAATTGTAATTAAAAATCTTTCTTTTTTTTAAAAGGTCTTTTGTAATGACGATGGGTTTGATTATCATTATCCAAGGCATAATTATGCAGATGCAAGTGTACACATATGCTGAAGTCAGGTGTGCATGGGAGGTAATTATACTTCCTCGTACTCAAAAGCAGTGATATGGCAACTGGTCATTAAGCTTGCATCGAGTTTGTGACTGTGATGCTGGTACATATGATATGAAAACTGCACTTGCATTTTGTTATCTATCTCACTAGCAATATGATCAAAAGCTTATTTATGAATAAAGTATACACAAAAAATGAACAATACAGTACAATTTTATGTGTTCTCCGGAAATTGGGTTTGGAAATTCGCGCATGGTGGTTTTGTTGAGATTATTTGATATTTCCAATTTGATAGGATGCTTGAATGTGAAGCAATGGATTGGAGATAACAAAATATATTCTTATTTTATATGGAGAAAAAGGCCCACTGCTACGAAATAAACTCTCAAAGCCCTTTAAACTTGGGCTCAAGCCCAGTCCATCTGCTTTGTCTCGCACCCATTATCAAAAGCAATGCCATGATAACTTGTAACTTGTTGGCTAGTGCGCCCCACACTCAACATCCAAATTGCAAGTTCGAATTCGCAGACCAAAAGGAAAACAAAAGCAATAAAAAAAATTAGTAAAGATTATTAACAGAGTTGAGTCTAATGAAAAGAGATAGTATGTATCCAACAATGCTTTAAATAAAACTATTTTCAATGGGAGAATAATTTTGGATGAATCCAAAAAAAAAAAAGCCATGAAAGTCTATAATTCCTTATTTGCTAAATGCAGAGGCTATTTCTTCTAGTGATAAATATACCTCATCTGAATACATAATACCAGCATAAAAGTGACTGCCAGCGGTTTGTTGATGATGACCGTTAAAAGCATCGCCGCAAATAAAAAAAAAAAAAAGTAAGCCTTAAGGACGTGTTTGGTTATTAAAAACATAGAATAAAATTAAATGAGTTGATATGGTAGAAAATGGGCTAAAATAAGATCACATACTAATAAAGATGTAAAAATGTTAAAAGAGTGGAGAGATTGATAGAAAGATAGGATTAGGGATTAATGATCTTATTTATATTAATCTTCATTCTCACTTCTTTATCCCTTCAAGAATCTCTATTTTTCAACATCTCTATCAATTTATTATCTTATTTTAATCCATTTTATTCTCTATCAATCCATTACATTTTATTTGATTTACTTTGAGAGAATGACAATTAAATCTCAAGAAAATTAATTAATTTAAATTAAGTCTCAAAGTGATAAATTTTAAGAATTTATAAGTTCGACTTTCAATTTTATAATTTTGTTGTGATGAATTTACAATTTATTTTTTAAAATTTAACATGGTTGATAAATAAATAAATTTATTTTTTCTGTTAAAATTTAAAATACAAGTTACAAATTCATTATAATAAAATTATAAAATTAAAAATTAAACTTATAAATTTTTAAAATTTGATATTTTAAAATAATTAGTCTTTTATGACCTCCGTGTCATTCTCCCATCTCTTTTTAATATCAATGTCAGACCTTGGAAAGTTTTGAGAGATTTTTCTTCACCCACATGACATGTAAATCAATCCTCATCAATGCCTTTCTTATCATCACTTTTTTCTCAAGTGGCGTAATATGATTTAGTACTATCCAGACTTGTCATATGAATGGAGTGCATTTTACATAAGAAAATAAAATAAATATAAGGCAACATTTTATTCTTAAAGATGTGTATTGTTGTGTATACTCCTTCCAAGTCATAATATAAGTAGTTTTTTAGAAGTTTTATTTGATGTCAAATATAAAATATTTGATATGCGTTATACATTTTTTTTAATTTCACTCTAATTTTATTGAGTAATTAATGAAAGCGTTTTAAATAAGTTAAATATTATATTTATTACATTTAAGGCATGATTAAAATGACGTGAAAATTAACCAACTGTTTTAAAAACATAAATTAATTATCAATGATTTATATTGTGATACGGATGGAGCAAATATATTATTAAAATAAATGTCCTTGTGATTTTTTATAAAATCAAATAATTCAAAGAATAGAGAAGTACTACGTAAAATGCATTAGAGGGAAATGAGAAATTGACTTGCCCTTATTGATGAGGCAGAAGCGAAATCACTCGAATGGTTAAAGCACACTCAGTTTATCTCCATGCAATCATCCATCTTTCTTGCCTAAACCTATGGTCGATAATCCCAAGCCACTCATATATTCGAACTTATAGGACTCGCACCATGACATGGTCTCTAACTGCTAAGTTCCTCTTCATTGCAATTGAATCGAATTGACTGGCCATTGAATTAGTGAACCAATTTAATTAATTAGTACATTAACCATTGATTCAGCGTCAATCCCAATCCATATATAGCCGAAACTGAGATTCCCTGAAATTTTGGAGTCGTGAAGATGGACAATCAATCTTCGTCGTATTTTTGCCTGAAAAAAGCGTGTTTTAGTATATTGAAAGCAATTTTCTCATTAATTGGTTTGTCAGAGAAAATGGAAAAGGGAGGTGAATATGGACCTCTGCATTTTGAACTTAATACAGGTGCGAAGACGCCATCGTTTGGCCTTGGAACATGGAAAGCTTCTCCAGATCTTGTGGGTGATGCTGTCATTGCTGCTGTCAAGGTTTTCTTTCTCATTTCTTCTTTGTATTTTCCGGTTATTTTCTTTGGAGGGTTTTCAGATTGCTCTGATTTTATAAAAAAAAAATTGCTACGTCATATCAATACATGTGTTATCGAGTGTGTCAATTAGTAATTGCTTTGATGAACCAAATCAATTAAAATGTAAACAAATGCTTGTGGACTAAATCTGCAATGGAGTGTATTGTAATTGAGTTCATAAGAAGTAGATAAACAGAGCTGGTTGTAATACTTAGTCTAATGAAAGTTTTTCAATGATTTGCAGGATGGTTATAGGCATATAGATTGTGCCAAGGTCTATGAAAATGAAAAAGAGGTAAGATTTTCCTGTCCAATATTATTATCTTGACATAGCATTTGTTTTAGTTTGCCTAATGCTTAGAAATTTGACGCAGATAGGAGAGACACTGAAGAAACTGTTTTCCACTGGAGTAGTACAGCGTAGTGAAATGTTCATCACATCCAAACTATGGTATGTGTCCTCAAGTTTCAACAGTCAAACACGACGACACTTGTTTGTTTGCAGTCTTGTTATAGATAAATACTATAAATTGATGTTGTTGATACACACTTCTACAGTTGAATAGTTGATAAGTGGTTGTTATATCCAAGCAGGACCAGTGACTGTGCAGTGTGCACCCAAGATGTGTCTAAGGCACTGAGTAAGACTCTGGAGGACCTCCAGTTAGATTACATCGATCGATACCTTGTATGATTCCTGACTCTTCAACGCCCCCCCCCCCCCAACACCAGTCTTCAGAGGAATTTGATATTTTATCATTTTTGAAAGCAGCGATTACATCTTGCTAGAAGTCTATAACTTATATAATTTGAACTGCGATTATTATAATGTTGTGACAGATGCATTGGCCTTTTAGGACAAAGGCAGGTTCAAGAGGATGGGATCCGGAGGTGATGGCTCCACTGTGTCTTGCAGAGACATGGAATGCAATGGAAGGGTTATTCGTGTCGGGTCAGGCACGCGCCATCGGAGTGAGCAACTTCTCTACTCAGAAGCTGCAAGACATGCTCAAGTATGCTAAAGTTCCACCTGCAGTTAACCAAGTGGAATGCCACCCAGTTTGGCAGCAATCTTCTCTTCACAATCGGTACTGGTGTTCATCTCTCTGTATTACTCTACATCTTTTTTTACCTTCCTTATATCTTTGCATTTTCATTTCTTCCTACAAGTTTTCTATTTGATTGAAATTACTTGCCCATATTATCAATGTAGGAATCTCCACAAGTTTCTGTAGTTAAATGAATGGTTTGTTGTTTCAGGCACGCTGTCCCTTGGGTTCTCCAGGGTCATAGGTGAAAGGTGAGATTTTTGAAGGAACCAGTGTCGGTTGAAATTGCCGAAGAACTTAACAAGTCTCCAGCACAGGTTGCTCTACGCTGGGGAATCCTGAGTGGTCACAGTGTTCTTCCAAAGAGTGCAAATGAATCCAGGATCAAGCAAAATATTAGCTTATTTGAGTGGTCCCTGCCTCCACGCCTCTTCTCAGAATTCTCTCAGATCTGCCAGGTCATAATCGATGCCTTTTAACATAATCAAGGATTTAACTTTTCATATTTATCATTGGGTTGTTTATTTTCTCCCGTTCTACAATGCAGCAAAGGTTACTACGGGGGGACTTTGCTATCCATGAGACTTGTAGTCCTAATAAAAGTCTCGAGGAATTGTGGGATGGGGAAATATGAAGTGTCATAAACTTGACAAAATGCTAATTAAATTGAAACATTTCTCTTGTTTATATTTTTCTTGCCTTAGGATTTATGTGAATATTCATACATTTTACTTGATGGCGACACCTTTAAGTAATTTTTTTTTTTGTAACATGAGTTTATGTAATTGTAATTTTTTTTTTTTTTGACATTTTGACATTTGAATTCAACTATGGCACTAACCTATCA